CCACGCATGGATACTGTGGTGCACAAATGCTGCAGCTCAGTCGAGGTAGAAAAGCACTCCATCTGCTGTGGCCTACTTTGTAAAATAAGGCTGTGAAACCAAAACCAAATAGCCCTCCTCCAGGGAAAAGCTATGCTGTGCTCGATATGGTATGTCCCACACAGCAGCAGTAGAAGGGGGCTTACTTGAGTAAGGGTGGACATAATTTATAGCCAGTCATGCTCTCAGAATCAAAGCTACACTCAAACTCAAGGCTGTAACATTTAAAGATGTTGTATTTGTTCTAACTTCTGCAATTAGCAAACTAAGCCTTTGGCTATTTCCTCCATTTGCAGTAAAATATCCCCTTGTTGCCATTAGGGTCCCCAAGAAAAGACACAGTATGAAATTCTGGAGAGGTACTGAACTTTCAATGCCTGGGACTAAAAAGTGAAAAGTCATCTTTAAAGCAAGTGGAAATGACAATAAGATTTCTGTTTTAAAAGCTAACATCAAGACACCTGCTGTTAGTGAATAACTGGTATTAAAGATTTAAGACAAGAGGGCACGATCCTAAGCCCTGCCAGGGGAAGTTTAGGTTGGATATCAGGAAGAAATTTTTTACAGAGAGAGTAATCAGACATTGGAATGGGCTGCCCAGGGAAGTGGTGGATTCACCATCCCTGGAGGTTTTTAAGATGAGAGTGGATGTGGCACTTAGTGCCATGGTCTGGTAACCACGGCGGTGTTGGATCAAGGGTTGGACTTGATGATCTCAGAGGTCTTTTCCAACCCAGTTGATTCTGTGATTCTATGATTTTTTTCACTGAACGAAGGTCATCCTTTCTCTTCGGCTGAGTCTTTGTATTTGTAAAAGTAAAATTGACTTGACTGGCTTTTTCCTCTTCTGTGCATTAAGGAATTTAACTTATGTGAGCAAATGAAGGACATTTCCTCAATTTCCAGAAATCCAGTGGCTATTCGTGGTTGCCTTTTAGTTTGATTCCAGTTAGAATAACTGGCTGGTGACTTTGATACCCCTTATGCTTAGACACTTTGACTATCCATGCTACAGTTATTTAACACAGAGACGTCTTCACCTGCAGTCACCTGGAAAGAGAATCTCCACTTTCCTATTCCTGTCTTCTTTTGTTCTGAATGTGGATTAAAATCAACTTAGAGGGACATGGGAGTTATGTTTAATGCATGCAGATGCAGTGGCTCTGAAACAGCACTAATAATGATGTGACAAGTACCTTGTACTTTCTAGAGCTGTCAAAGTTTGTTTGATATCATTCATATGCCAGGTACTAGTAAGATAGAAAGAAGCAGTGCCCAGGATGTAGAAATTATTCCATGCTGAGGTGTGTGGAAATCGGAACAGATTAGAGTCAGAGAATTTGAACAGTTCACATCATAAGGACTTGTAAGTGTTGTTTAATCTGACCTCCTGCTCAAAGCAAGGCCATCTTGACCAACACTTCAGGGCTGTATTTCAGTTTTGAAAATATTCTCCAGCAGCTCCTCTGCACTTTTTTCAGTTCTGTACCGCTCTCGGAAGAGAGGGAGATTTTTCTTTTTCATTTAGTCCAGTTAGAGTTTCCTTTGCTGCAACTTGTTTTTCATTGCCACTAGTTTTTTTTTTTGTGCAATGCTGGGGCAAGTCTGGCTCAGTCTTCTTTATAACCTCCCTGCAGGCAGGACCCCCAGAGCCATCTCTTCTCCAGGCTGAACCAGCCTGGCTCTCTCAGCATCTCCTCACAGGGAAGGTGCTCCAGCCCCTGGCTGTGATGGTAGCTCTCTGCTGATTCTCTCCTGTTTGTGTTGGTATCCAAAACTAGTCTCACAAAGATCAGGCACAGGGGAATGACCACTTCCTTTGACCTGCTGTCTGCAGTCTTGCTAATGCAATTGCAGTTAACCTGTGCTGGCAATTGATTCACTTTGCCCTCCTACCGGGCTGTGAAGCCTGTGAAGGCAATATGGATTGATACCAGGTTTGTGGAGGCAAGGAGGTGAAAAGAATTGTTCTTACAGGAAACTGTGAGCAGCATATCTCTTTGAGCAAATTGACCACTGGGCAAGACTTTGAGGATAAAAAATGAAGAAAGGGGAAGTGATTTAAACAGAAAAAATGAGTGAGGACCAACAAGAGCTCTTAGGGCAAACACACAAAAAGGTTTACAAACAACAGCCTCTTGTTCCCAAATATATACAAACAGGGATCTGAATGCTACTAGAGATGTTTAATAGCTGTGTATTTTGAGCTTGCAAAAACACCTGTAGATTCTGGTTGAATTTGTTTGGGGTTTTTTAAAATTTATTTTATTATTTCCTGCCTCAAACTTACATATGACTTGTCCATAATGAGGGATTCATATTCCCAATCAATGAGTACAAATAATTCATCTTCCCAAACTATGCATCAGGTTTACAGTAGGTCAGTAATGCTTTGACCATTGGCCATGCACATTAATTGTCTAGGATAACTAATTGCCCAGCAATCCCCAACAGCTCAGAGCCTAGAAAACTGGTACATCACTGCTCAAAGCTATAGTCTCCCCCTTGAAACAGAAGAATAGGGATTGCAGCTTTTACTTGCAAAATAGGTTAAAGCCGGTCCTCCAGCTAAAGGAACACTCCAATGTATTTATGTAAATGTGTTTTTAGATGATGCCATTTACCTCCTTTAAAAACCCTTACATTCTTCAAGAAGATACCTTAAGTAGAGCTATCTAGAAAGGTTATATGAAAAGTCACAGTGGCATCATACTATAAAACTTGAATATCACAGTATTATTTTAAATTATATTTATAATTTTAATATTTATAATTATTTTTATAATTATATTTATAATTATTTTAATTATATTTTAATTATTTTTAATTTTTCCTCTTCAGCAATATCTGTCTCTATTTTATGGTATTTATGTCATGGAATAAATGGCATAAGTAAAATAATTAGGTAAGATATAAGTAGACATACTTCATGCTTCAGCTTATGAGCATAAAAACCAGTAGGGCTTGTTAGGAAAATGTTCATATTTTTAGGTTTGTGTCCCTTGGAATAAAGTAATGGCATTGAGAATAAACATATTGAGAATATATAGCAGCATCGAGCCAAAAAAAATTTCTTAAGGGAATGAAGTAGGGAAAATTCTGCAATCTTTAGTCACACCTGCTAATCTTTAAAAATTGAAATTGCAAGTGCATTGCAGTTACAATGTATTTATTTTTAAAGACAGTCTTCCTGGAGTAGCTTACTTTGTAGTGTGATGCTGCTTGGAGCCTTTGCCGGACTTATTCATCTAGATGTTGTGAAAATGCAATTGGAAGATGGCACTTTACCCAGCACACCACATCTGAATTTATTAGCAGTTGTCCCCAGATGCACCTGCAAGACCTGACACTAGAAAATAAAAAGTGAGTGATCATTGCTCTGCCTTTGAAATTGGGTGAATGAAACAAGAAAACTCGTTCACCAAAACAGTGCAGGCTGCTGTAAATCCTGCTGATGTGCAATGGGAACTCAACCAAACCCCAGAGGGAGGTGATTCTGCCCCTCTGCTCTGGTGAGACCCCGCCTGCAGTGCTGCATCCAGCTCTGGGGGCCCCAGCATGGGGAGGACATGGACCTGTTGGAGAGAGTCCAGAGGAGGCCACCAAGGTGATTAGAGGGATGGAGCACCTCTGCTGTGAGGAAAGGCTGAGAGAACTGTGATTGTTCAGTCTGGAGAAGAGAAGGGCTTCGGGGTGACCTAGTTGTGACCTTCTAGTACCTGAAGGGAGCCCACAAGAGAGATGGAGAGAGACTATTTACAAGGGCCTGGAGTGACAGGACAACGGAAAATGGCTTCAAACTGACAGAGAGGTTTAGATCAGATACTAAGAAAAAATTCTTTACTGTGAGGGTGCTAAGGCACTGGAACAGGTTTCCCGGAGAAGTTGTGGATGTCCCATCCCTGGAAGTGTTCAAGGCCAGGCTGGATTGTGCTTTGAGCAACCTGGTCTAGTGGAATGTGTTCCTGCCTGTGGCAAGGGGTTTGGAACGAGATGATCTTTAAGGTCTTTTCCAACCCAGGCCGTTCTATGTGATGCAAGTGAGGGGAGGTTGGTGCAGCAGCACTGGCATGGTGGTGTCACACCAGCCTCTCTCCCTGGCTCTGCATGTCCACTTGGGAATCCGTGTACCACCGCCACTGGTCTCATGTGGATGTGCCCAGCATGTTTCAAAAGACTGCGCACATTTCACAAATGTTTAAAGCAGGGGTACCATTGCACATGAAATGCACTGTTTGCATCTAAGATTAACAGCCCGAATTAGCAGGGGGAAGACAGGAAAAGCCAGAAGGATACTTCTCTCTGTTTTGTCACAACTTTTATTTACGTGAGGCAAATGTTAGCATTCTTTATGTCCTCGGGGTACCCACCAGTGCCCCAGTTCCAGCATTTGCTGTACCATTCCTCAGGGAAATCCTTGAAGCCATATGGTTCACTTGCTGTTCCTGCATTTCTGTGTGCCTAAGGAGTTGGTGGTGGTAGTGGTCCCTTTTCTTTCTGCTACTTCGCTCTGTGTCTCATTCTTTTTATGCTTTTTCCAAATGAAAAAGTGGCTTTGAACTCTCCAGCTTCCCTCTAGCTCAACATTAGCAGCATACAAATATTATTCTACCAGCATATGTGTTCCTTTTCCCACATTAGAGCAACCAAAGGGATACAACTGTTCTTTGTAGTGGTGGTATTGGAAAAATCAAGCTTAGTAATCTTTTAGGTATTGATCTTACGTAAGTTGATGGACTACACTGTGCTTCCATTATATGCATACGTATCTCTCCAGGCCTTTTTCTCTGGGGCTCTAACCCCATGGGGAGAGAAATCTGTTGCTGTGTTTTAGAAAGGCCAAAATCAAAGAGGCTGGTTGCTTTAGGAGTGTGCATGCATGTGTGCAGCATGACAGAGCTGGCAAATAATTTCCAATGAGACTGTTAAAGGAAAGGCCTTTTGATGGCGTGTAGTGTAAGTGAATATGTAGTATTAAATTTTTATTATATATATCACTACATAATACATAGTGAATATAGCATAAGTGAAAGAGACTACAGTCTGACATATGAAAACCCCATGTAAGTGTGATTCCCACTGTGTTTACAAGGGATGTGTTTATCCCAAGTGACAAAGATTTAGAGGGTGCATAACAGCCAGCTAAAGTCCAAGCTTGCTGGGTCTCCTGTAAGAAATTCTTCTTACATGTCTGTGAACTACTGGTACATTTATGTTGCAATGCATAAGATTTGGTACAATGGTTGCTTGACATTTACACTCTGTGTGCATGGTCAGTGGAAAAATAACATGAAACACACTGTCAGCAACAATTTTCCATATCTCCATGTACAAGAATTACATACAAATGACACAGTAAGTACTGTGTGATGTCAAGGTCAGTACTGCCTGCTAGAACTGTGGTTCTGCCCTCCAGGAAGCAATGGCTTTTATTCAAAGTCTGGCATGTTCAAGAGAACAACAGGAATTCATGACTGCAGGACAGAATATTGTCCAGAGTGTTTATCAACAGTTCTCAAAAGTGGAGCTTGCAAAAAGAGCTGGCAGAGTACTCACGAGGGTCTACTTCAGCCTAAACCAGAGAACTAGTTCATGTATATTCCAAACAATTCAGTCCACGATAAGAGCTTAAAAGAGCCATCTGAAGGCTAACAATTACACTGGACCTGAATAGTTAGCATTTTTAGAGGCATTAAAAAGAACAAACTGATTTGTGTATCCAGAGATTTGACCATGTGTCTCTCAAGGGGAAGGTCTTGGTCACAGTACGGTGTCTTTGCAGCCAAGAACAGAATGGTAATTTAAACTATAAAAGAGAAAAAAAAACCAAAACGAAGAAGAGAAAGTTACATTCATCTTTTTTGGACATTTACATCTGAAATCCACTTTTCTATGAATACATCTTACTTCAAGTTCAGACTTTTACTTTAAAATTTTACTGCTCACTAACAGTAAAACAGGCTAACATTCAACTTTTTTTTTTTTTTTTAAACTTTACTTAAGTCATTTGGGAAAATAAGATGCAGAGGTAAACAGAGATTCTGCAGACACGAACAAAGTCAGTGCATCTGTTCTTGAATCCCTTTCCTAGGAGCCGTAATGGATACTAAGGCACCATATCCAGTATTTCAAGGACTTGGGCACATTATACAGCATATCTGAAAAATGGCTGTGTCATTATTTACATTGTACAGAACAAAGGAGCATTCAGAAAATGTCATGGATGATTAAAGCAGGAAAAAATGGATTCCATTCCCCATACTGACACTAATTTTCCCTGTGTCCTCATACAAGTTTCATCTTGCAGGCTGCTAAGCGCATGTTTTCTGGATGACTCAACTCACTTCAATGACAGTATTCTAATATACACAAGTAGCACATATTCAATACATGCAAGTTTTTTTCAGAAAGATAGGCGGCCTTCAATTTTGCATGACTCATTTCCCACGTCCTCAACATCAGGAGGATATATTTATTAATTTTGTGGGACCTATTATTGTTTGAGGTGTCAAAGGGAAGCTTTTAGCAAGTAAGATGAACATCAGAGACTGCAAAATGCCAATATACAAGGTACAAGTGTAGCTGAAATGAAAACCTACCCTTTTCATGGATGTAATATATCCACTATTGTAGAATTTTATCTAAGAATTTCATCATCAAATGATTTTGAGCTCTGAAACAAAAGAGTGCTTTAAATAAGACTGTCTGCTAGAAGAAAAAGGGCATCAGAATAAAAAATATTTATACAACTTGGGATTGCAGGCTTTTAAGTTATTTAATTAAGCATTTACCTAAAAGCTAGACCATACTTAAGCATATCTGTAGATAAAATTAATTCTCTAGTGTGACACTTTGTTGTCATTTAGAATTTTTATTTACTTTGGTTCTCAGTGTTTGTTACATGGACATACAGCTGTGATGGTTATAGCTAACTCTGACAGAGATGTTCTTTGTCACATAAAGTAGGTACAAGCTGAACATAAAGCAAAGAGCAGGTTCAACCCCCCTCATTCCTTTAATGGAAATTTACACTGTTACAATGTTTGAGATTTTGTTTGTTTGTTTGTTTGTTTGTTTCTTTTTTAGTCGTATATCATTTCTTTGAGGTGTCAGACTCACTGTCCCCATATTTCTTGATTTACCACAAAACCAAAACCTAAATTTTCAAACAATGGAGATAAATCTTACACATATAATAAAAAGTAACTTACCTGCCTGTAAATGTGAAATAGAGGATTTCTTTTCTTTGTAGTAGTATTTCTGATATGTCTTGAGTTCCAGAATGAAATCCCACATTTACCTCATGTTGCCCAGGAGAGAACAGTTGGAGAAGTGCAATTTGGTCGCTCGGACCCACCACCAACTTTTCACTGAAACAGGTGTGAGCTAATGCCTATGTGCTTTTGAACCTTATCTAGTCTAGGTGACTGACCCAAGTGCAAGAATTCCTGTATCCTTCTACTGCTTTAGCTCTCTTGCTCTCAGAAAATGTGATATTTAGACCTATTTTACTGTGAAAAGTGATGTCCACCAGTCACCTTGCACTCAGGCATGTACTGACAAACAGTAGGAACTTCCTGATGTCTCAGTCATCAAACTGGTTAACTGGTTAATGCCATCAGCATTTTGGGTTTCAAAAAAACTTTTCAAAATAGTTTTGCCTCTGAACTATTAGAATGTCCTTATCTGCCTATGCCTTAATTGCAAGAAGAAATGAAGGAAGATACTAGGAGATACCTATTGAAGGCTATTTAATTAATCACTTGGAGTCCTCTGCCAGAAGCTTCTCCTTTTCTGGCCTTCAAGTTGTGTTCATTTTAGATCAGATTCCACCAAACAGAAGGTGGGAGGTGTACCAGTTTTGGTTAAAGGTCAGAGCCCTGTTGCTGGAGCAAAAAAGAAATGTTGTCAGTGTCTGGTGCCAGTCCATGGCAGGAAAACAAAGGCTTGAGCAACCTCCGTTCTGTCTTTCCTGAGGCACTGAAACTTCTCCCTAAAGGTGTGATTCTCCTCCACTTGGTCTCTTTTATTTTATAATGACGTGGAACGGAAGAGTAAAAAAATTTGTATTTATGATGAAATGGTTTGAGTTGGAAGGGGCTTTAAAGATTATATAGTTCCAACTCCCCTGCCATGGGCATGGATGCCACCCACTAGATCAGGTTGTCAGGGCTCCATCCAACCTGACCTGCAACACTTCTACATATTACTTAGTATATTGTGGTAAGATTATTCACTGTGAATAGACATTTTTAAGGTTTCTGAAATGAGTGCTGCATTAGGGTGAACTCCATTTTCTACTCGAAGGCTTTGGGAAGTTTCTTCCTTCTCGGTCCCTCATGACAGTTTTCAAAATAATCTTGTTTGTGTAACCTTCAGCTATACCATTAAAATGCACCTGAAAATCCTAGACCTTTTGAAAAAAAATTGGCTTTATTTACAGGATTGATTTTTCTTTACCTTATCAACCCCGTATGGGTACCTCATACACGTTTACTGCTCCTGGCCGTGCATAAAATCTACAAGAACAAACGGAAAAAGGCAGAATCCCTGCCATTTTTACGTACACAGGCTTGGGGTCTGGCACTTGCTCATTTGCACAGTTACCTGTCTGAAGGCAGGCAGGTTTTTGGGTGAGATAAAATGAATAACCTGGCAGTTGTACTACTGTGTCGTGCAGCAGCTCCGAATTCTGCTGTTTGCCAGCTAGAGCCTCCTCATAGACAGGCTAATCAGTCCTGATGGCAGAGCTATGGGTTAAGGGGTAAGTAGGTCAGTTCTGTGGAGGTGGACTCTGTTTTGGGGAAAAGGAGAAGTAGAGTTAGTCATGGATACCTCTTCTTCAGCACAGAGCTCATAGAGATTAAATTCTCTGTGTTATAGCTATAGATAGGGTGGGATTTGAGGCATGTCACAGCATACAGCCAGGAGCAGCTGCTGTCATTTTTAGTGGCAATTCCAGAGCAAACTAAATTCAAAACCCCTTATGGTAAGGGTTTCTTTATGAATTTCATCCTTTTGAAATTATGGGCTGCATAGATAAGACAATGGGTGAGAGGAATGTATATGAACACATAGATGAAATGCATGAGCTGAATAAAACGCATCTCATAAATGCAGTATAGGTAATTATTTACCTATAATATAGATTAAATAATTATATATGTATATCATGGAATATATGGCAGAAAACCGTGCCTTGCTTAAAGCGTGTGGAAAATTGGTGGTAGAGCTGGAAATTGGACAACTCGTGTTAGTCAGAAGATCATTCAGCAAAAAGCTGCAGAAAGGTTTATTCCTATATTAACTCTCATTTTTTTAGGTGGCATTGCCCTTCTAAAGATATCCCTTCAAAAGACGGACCTTTTAAGAATGTCTGCAGATCTGGACTCCCTCAGATTAACTGGGGGCACACATTTCAAAGGGAAGTGGTGTTCATGGGGAATTCTCTGCCAGCCGCCCAGATCTCAGTTGCAGAAGTAAAGGATAAGTAGTAAAGGAGTTTAAATTTCCTCAAGCTGCCTTCTGTTGTGCCTCGGCTTTGATCTGCCAGGATTACCTTGAGAGGTGGGAAAAGTAGTTAATTTTCCACTTTCACTTGACACTTCCCCTTTCTCCAGGGGCTGCTGAGTTAGTGCCCACTGCCTACGTAGGTGAGCTGAATGCAATACCAGGACTTGCACTTTCTTGGCATTGACTGACTTCACAGACTGTCAGATAAGGGAGACATTCAATGATTTTCATTGGTTCCAGTGTAGCTGCCAGACAACTACAACCAGCGAGGTGGACTTTCAACTCTGGTCAGCCCATGATGCCACCATCCTTACCTTGTCTTCTCCTGTGTTCCCTCTGTGGTTCCACAGGGCCTTAGTCCCCAGGGAAAACCCTTTAAATACTCTTATAATTATTTCTTTATCTTTCTCTCATTCTAGATTAAAACCATTCTTTTTGTTGATGCCTACCAAAAGACTTGCTTAGGTGATTTCTGTTGTGTTTGTAAAGTTAAATATGTTGTCTTTTTGTGTTCTTTTATTCCTTCATCTTTTATCTTATATTTAGGCTTTTGTTTTATTATTAATTAGATGCCATCCTTTTGTTCTGCTCTTATCACACCTCAAACAATGGATTTTTAGCCAGGCCAAGGCTTCTGACTTCTTCAGTAATACAAATATTTGGCAACAGTACAGTGTGTGTTTGTTTTTAAACAACCACCACGTGGAAGCTCTCATGTCCTTGCACTGTTGTCAGCTGTTGCAAAGGACAGAATAGCAGATGGCAAAATGGATGAGGAAAAAATGACTAACCATGACTTGAGCTGCACTAGGAGCAAGAGGGATCAGAAATAATGCTGTGTCCACCTCCAGGTTCCATCTTTCAGCAAACTTTGGGCACTGGTATCCTGGTTGTGCTGGCACCGGATGAGGCTGGTCCTTGTGCTGTGACTGTCCTGGAAGGAGAGAGGCAGTGGAGAGTGATGGCCAGGGTTCAACGTCCCCTGGCACCTCACTCTTAGAGATGCCTTGTTCTAAGGTATAATCCTTAGCTGCAGTGTCCTGTGACAGATACCATCTGCTGGTATTGTACACCATGTATCTATAGGTCATCAAATAGCTCAGATAAACCTTGCAGGCTCTGCCCCACACAGTGAAAACAATAAAACTTGAGATATAGTGTTTTGTTTCCCCCCATGTTAAGAAGCAGAGACCTCTGTTGTGTAAACACTCTGATCTAAACTGTTCAGCTGGTCACAACTATCCTTGAACTGATCAAGGTAACCACTAGGGCTTCCAATATGCCTTATCTCTCATGGTAATATGTGTTCAGACCAGGGACAAATTTAAATCAGGTACGCAAAAAGCCATATACAGCTTCTTCACTGGGGCCAGCCAGGCCTGCCACTGCAGTCTGTGCTTGGGATAAGCTTCATCTGGCCTTCTCAGCTCCCAAGACACAAAGGGTAGATAAAATAGCATCATGGCAATTTCTAACAAATGCAATGAGTCAGTTCCTGTTAATGATGAGACCCCTGTGAGTCAGATCATTAGAGCCGATTTCCATTGCTCTTGCTGTTGTTGGGGTTTTTGTTTGTTTGTTTAAAGATATTTTTAAGATACTTTACAACTGTTTTTAAACTGCTTTTCTATGGAAATAGGTCTTACAAGATGATTGATCTCCATTTCCCATCCTTTCCCAGGAATTTTTGTGCTCATCAATTAGAAAGACAGCATTTTCAAAGTTGCTAAATCCTTGCAATCTTCATGAAAACAGCTGGCTGGATAGAAGAAAAAGCTCTTGTTAGTGCTGTGGTGAGAGAGATGCCACAAAGGCAACTCACTCTATTAGTCACCAGAGAACCCACACCTCTAGATGGCAGGAAAAGCTTCAGCGTTTACATGCTATATTGGACCTCAAAGAGACACACATCTATTAGAAAGAAAAAAATAATCATCACTGCTGCTTCCAAGAAAACTGATTTTTAATTGTATAAAATCCATCCTGTAAAAGAAGCATCTGTATCTTGCTCTGTAGATTCATATGCTCCCCTCTCCCCCTACGCATTAAGATTTAAGGTACTCATCAGTGGGAAATATGTATAATCTCCCACAGGACTGCAGTCTCTCCTTCAGTACTAACATATTAAACTAGACTTCTTAAACATT